TAATTGCTTAAAGAAACTGTATCACTTCCTTGACATCCTGTTCTGGGAAGCTTCAACTTCTTAGCTCTACCTTAAATCACTAATCTAAAGAAAACAATTCTACTGTCAAAAGAATTCCTCAGACCTAAACGTATCTATCTGCTTCTTGGAATACAATCCCAAACTACTTAGTACTTCATATATTAGGCAGCCTTTGGGATGAAATTTGTCATCCACTCTGAAAGTATAGCTCTTGCCATCTACTTGAATAGTGCTTTCCCCGGGATATTTCCTGACTTGATTGCTTTTCATTTTTGTTCTAATGGAAGCAACACCATCCCACCTTCCCGTTGATGCATATATGTTGGCCATTTCAACATATGGAGCAGCAGCCTGGGGTTCCAGTTCAAAAAGATGATGAGCTGCATACTCTCCAATATCTGCATTTCGGTGAATCTTGCAAGCACTAAGCAAAGCAGCCCAAATGCCAGCATCTGGTTTAATAGGCATACATTGAATATACTCCAATGCTTCTTTCAGCTTTCCCTGACGTCCAAGGAGATCAGCCATGCAAGCATGGTGGTCCAGACCAGGACTTAACTTGTATAGTTCAGTCATCCTATGAAATAATTCCCATCCTTTCTCCATCAGACCTGCATGAACACAGGCCTGAAGAACAGCAAGAAATGTAATATGGTTTGGTTCTAAACCTGACATCAACATCACATTAAAATAATCCAATGCTTTTCCAGATTGTCCATTCAGTGCATAACCCGATATCATGGCAGTCCAAGAAACAATAGTCCTCTCATTCATGGAAGAAAAGAGTTCCTCAGCATCCCTTGCGCTTCCACACTTAGAGTACATGTCTAATAGTGCATTCGAGACCCTTATATCACTCTTCAATCCCCTTGAGATGGCATAACTGTCTATCCATCTCCCATAATCGAGGGCTCCAACTTGGCCACAGGCTGAAATTAAATATATCACCGTAACTAAGTCAGGTTGCTCGCCAGCTGCTTCCATGGCATGGAACAAGGCCATTGCGTCCTCCAAATCCCCTTTCTCAGCATAACTACCGATCATGACAGTCCAAGAAACACGAGTTCTGTCCACTATGGAGTCAAACAAACTTCTTGCCGAATCTATGTCTGCACATCTGGAGTACATACAAACAAGGGTATTAAGAACAGAAACATCTGAGCAACAACCTAATTGAACTCCATGAGAGTGGACCAACTTCCCAAGCAACAAAGCATTAGGTTTGGCAAATGATCCAAGCAAGTTAAGAATGGTACTCAAGTCAGGCCTAAATCCACCATATAACATATTATGGTACAACTCCATAGCCATAAATCCTTCTCCTGCATTAGCACACCCAGTAATCATTGAATTCCAAGAAACAACAGTTAGAACATCCAAATCAATCTCATTAAAAACCATCTCAGACAAGGACAAATCACCGCATCTAGAATATGCAGCAATCCAAGTGTTAGCAACTGAAACATCAGCTTCTACCCCAATTCTAATCCCCAGACAGTGAACAGAAGTCAATAATTTAACATCCTTCAGACCAGAAGCCAACTGTGCTAACCCCATAACCGTAACTGAATCCGGTCTAACCCCATCAACCATCATCTCATTAAATAAACACAAAGCTCTATCAAAACACGACGCTTGCACGAAACCCATGAGCATTGCATTCCAAGCAGCAATCTCCCTTGCATGCATTCTATCAAACACTGCGTAAGCAAAATTTTCTACCTCATCACATTTTACATACATATTAAGCAAGCCCGACTGTACATATTTATCTGAATAATAAGGAGATTTTAACATATGGGTGTGGACCATTTGGGAGCACTTGAGGCTAGAGAGTTTTGTACAGGCTTTGGCTATGAAGGGGAAGGTCAATTTGTTGGGTTCTAAGCCGTTTTGCTTCATTTGGCGGAAGAGAATAAGCGCTTTGTCTGGGTAGCCTTGGCTAACTGCATCCCTTACACCAGAGTTCATTGAAGTGACCCTGGAGAACTTTGAAAATCGGTTGAGGATTGGAGAAACGGTCGATTTCGACTTCCTCATGTGTCATTTTCATTTGGGGAAATTTTCAAGGCCTTGCTCAAAGTTCCCTTTAATATAAAAAATTTTCCTTATTGGGCAGTAGTTTAGTTCATTATCTTGTACTTTATAACTCTGCGAACACTTGTATTACAAATTGTACCGCGTTAATGTGTAGTTTAGAAGTTAGAGGAAAAAAATTCAAGTTAGGGGAAAAAAGGGGAGAGAAAAGATTAGAATTGTTATTTTATTTTTGGGTTGCTCAGTTTTAACAATAAAAAAAATAATAAAGAAAATGTTAGGCATGGTTTTATCTCTCAAAATAATGGTCTTTTTAAAAAAATCACCCAAACAGAGTTAATTTGGACAGTAGTTTATCATCGTCTCATATTTTTTAACCCTACAAACACTTGTCTTACAAATTGTGATGCGTTAATGCCTAGTTTGGAAGTTAGAAAAAACAAAGGTTTAAGTTAAGAAAAAAAAAAAAGGAAGAGAAAATAATAGAATTGTTTTTTGGGGTTGCTCAGTTTTAACAATAAAAAAATAGAAAAAAAAAAGGGTTAGGCATGGTTTTGTCTCTTGAAATAATGGTCTTTTAAAAAAAAAAACGCTCAAATAGAGTTAATTTGGACAGTATTTTATCATCATATTATACTATTTAACCCTACAAACACCTGTCTTACAAATTATGAAGTTTAGTTTGAAAGTTAGAAAAAAGAAAAAAAGTTTAAGTTAGAAAAAAAAAAAGGGGGGGTTTTGTGGGGAGGGAAGAAAAAATATTAGAATTGTTCTTTCAAGTTGCTTGGTTTTACAATAAAAATAAAAAAAAATAAAAAAAGGGTTAGACATGATTCTATCTCTTGAAATAATGGTCCAAATAGAGTAAATTTGGGGGTCTTTATGAATATAAGTCCGATGAATTTTTAAAATGTGTCTAGCCAACACTAGATGCATTTGTGTGTTTAACTGACACGTTGTGAAATGTGTCTTGGGCAAGAATTTGAAAAGGGCAAAAAAAAAAATCAACATAGCTGCATTTTGGAAATGCGACTAGGTAGTTTAAAAAGAGAGAGAGAAATAGACGCTGGCTGCATTTTATAAATGTAGCCAGGCCTGCGTTGGTTCATACTCCATTTGGACCACGCAGCTGGAATTTGCACTGAGTGACTGTGAAACCATCATGTTTTTGCAATAGAGGCCTTTTGGGGGGCTTTGATCATGGATGTAGCTTTTGAAGTGGCCAGCCTGCCTGTCACCTTCTTCTTCTTTCTGGACAAAGATGGTGTTTGGAACTATAAGCCATCATAAAATCATTAAAATTGAACAAAATATTTTCTAGTAAGATTACAAATTAATGACTTCCATATAACTTCCAATATTTATTTTGACCAGCATTCAACTAAAAAAGGAGCTCAAAACCATTTACAGGTCTCAAAGAGCACCCACCAGCCTCGTTCAGGCCCTCTTCGACCTGATTGAGCAGCCATTAAGTCCCCGTCTGAAAACAAGATGTTTCTTTCGATAATTTTCAAGTACACTCTAAATTAAGTCTGGCAACAGAGAATTTTTACGAAAAAAGGGGAAAGAATTAAAAAAAAAAAAAAAAAACTTATTTCCAAGGGACAAAAGAGTTCATGAAAACTAGATGGGGATTTTAAACATAATTACAAGGAAAAAATTGAAGGACCTAGGTGGAAGAATAAAAATGGTACACTTGAGTCATTAAAAGATATACAGTTCCCACATCGGTAGGATGTGGTTTGCATCTTCAGTATTTAGGGTCCTCAGTGGTAGTCAAAAGTTGGTACCTTTTGACTATTGCTGTGGAGTTACTTTAGGTGTTGTGTGTGTGAGTTGTGTTCTTCCGTTGAAAAGAAACAGAGATTCAGGAGAGGTAAAAAAACTGGTAAGGATAGATTCAGGAGAGTCGTCTGTGTGTTCCCTTTCCCCACCCCTCTAGTTCCCACATCGGTAGGATGTGGTTTGCATCTTCAGTATTTAGGGTCCTCAGTGGTAGTTAAAAGTTGGTACCTTTTGACTATTGCTGTGGAGTTACTTTAGGTGTTGTGTGTGTGAGTTGTGTTCTTCCGTTGAAAAAAAAAAAGAGTCATTAAAAGATATACAACAATTGATCAAATAAATATTTGGTAAGATATTTGGGCAATTGGGCCCCAATGGCTACCCAAGTATTTTCCAAAAATTCCCATCAATTGATGGGTATAAATGAGATTAGTCCCGTTGCAAACCCAACATCAAAATTAAAATATCGATCCCGTCTAAAATTCCTTTAAGCATAGATAGCCCATTGGAACATGGAAAAAATTGCCACCTCTATCAAAAAGGGACATAATTTAGATCTAAAACGAAAAAGATTCTTTAAATGGTCAAATTACATTCCATCCATAACAAATAAGATTGCAAATGAATCAATTCATTCGCAAGTGCTCCCAAGCCAGTTCGATCAAAATTTGACTAAAACTCAATTAATACTGAATTCAAGTCAAACTACCGAACTCGAGCAATTCGATTAAAATTCAATTCAAACTCAATTAATACTAAAATCGAGTCGACCAAATCAAACAACCTAACTTGAGCGAGCATAAAGATACTCAAACTCAATAGCTCATCCAATTTTATACATATATCTCTAATATTTTTATTTATTAAAAAATAAATATTTTATTCATTTTTTAAAGATAAAATAATTATTTTAATTTTTTAAACTCAAATAGGCTTGTTCGAGCTTGACTATGCTCGATCAAGCTCGAATTTGTGATCGAACTTTCAATGCAAAACTTGAGCTCGATATTAAACTTGATTCAATTAGACCAAAACTTTGACTCGACTTGGTTCATTTACAACCCAAATTGCAAGGCGGAAAGGGGAAGGTGAAGGTGAAGGGGAAGGAGTATAGAGTTAAATATGTAGAAAATTTTGAACTATCCCAACAACATTTGCTATCATGCTAATAAAAATATTCGGTACTACATTTCAAAGGGAAAATAACCGATCAAATTGTATACACATCCACCACATAACAATAACCAAATCTAAAACCAAATTATACATGTGAAGCAAGTAGAGTTATTGTCATCCACATCGTAATGAAACCATAAGCAAACACGCTCAGCAACTCCACTTTAAGGTTGTACTCCATCCACATTGATTCCAGCATGCAGAACAGTATCAAGCAGCCCCTTTAAATTTTGCATCATATTCATATGGTTGCTGCAAACAAATAAAATATTCGTCAAAATTAAGCAACCCAAACATATGCATTGGTCAATGTACACACAAACATATCACCAGTAGTCATAATGCTCCAAATTCTCAACCTTCAATCACATTCAAATGAAGCATTTGCCTCCAGACTAGCTTGCATTGCCCCCAATATTTTCACATCATAATCAGACAAGAATTACAATTTCTAAACCTCAAAGGAGCATCATAGACTGGAGATACAAAAATTGCAGTAATAATAATGAAAGAAATTAAAGATCCATACACACTAACATACAATTTGAGGCCAGCTATACAAGTGCCCCAAGTTCACAGACACATTCTGTTAGATAAAAACTTGACTAATAAGAACTACTTAAGTTGCTTCATGTTTTTTAAGTTCAAATGCTCTACTTTTTGCACGAGAAATGCAATGCAAGAACACTAGTCTGCATGTGCTTGTCAGCGCACCTTCGCTAAACATATATGGCTTTACTCTCCACAAACATAGCTAATGTTGTAACTTAGCATTGACATCGACAGTTGAGTTCAACATCACCATAATTAGTTTATTATTCAATTGAAGAATGCTTCCACACATATTTCAACTGTGGAAGGAAACTAGTCTTTTAAATTCATCAGTTAAGCTACCAGTTAGGACAGGCACCCAGGTGGCCTCTGTCTACAACATGTCGGTCAAACTAAAGAAAAGAGCCATTTTGCGATTGCATTACTGATTGTAGTATCAGAACCAAACAAATGTACATGCACGCGCGCACACACATGTCTATATCTCTCTGTTTGCCTGTGTGTGTGTGTGTGTGTCTATATATACATATGCACATACATGCACACACATGTATGTACATACACACACACAAATATGCATGCATGCATATACACATATACATATAATGTGAATGTCTGTGTGTGTGTGTGTGTGTGTGTGAAAGTGAGAGAGAGCACATGAATAAATATTAAGGAAAAAAATAGTGAATGTGCTCCTCCCATTTTGCAAAAACTATGGTCCAATATATTACCAAGAAGATTGCTGAAATCAATCGGCGAGCAAACCATCGCTTGTGCATGGCTTGTTGAGCGCGTGCTGCAGCCTCCACATTCTCAAAGCGCAAATAAACATAGCCAGCACTATTCCTGTAATTGACATAAAATGGAAGACAAAATCAAGCATAAATAATACAATGCAACAACTGACAAAGCTCAAATTTGCTGCTACAAATACAAAATACCAAGGAAAAGAGAGTACATGAGGCCGGTTCTCAACTGCTGTTAATTATCTTCAGCTAAGCTTCATAATTTCTTGAGAAGTGGACCATCATTATGATTTATAGACTGAATGGTAAAAGCACGGGAACATAACAAGTAGACATACAATGCAATAGAATGTCTGTCGCTCAAAAGTTTATACTCTCAAATTTTAATTGTTTTTCTTCACTGACTTCCCTTATGCCAGGAAAAGGTAGGTATCCTCAATTCTTTTTGCCTTTTCCATGCCAACTGTTCTCTACTACCCTCCCCCTCCAACTTTTCAGCTATTCCCTTTTTTCTCACTCCTATACCTAGTTCTCAATTTCATTGTTAACCAAATTTTGCTTATTCCTGTTAGCATGATCCAAATTTGGGTCCTTTCTTCTAATGCTTCATTCTTCTTTTAGTTTTTCCATTCGTTCTCCTTCATTCTTCCAGTTTACGCATACAGCCCCTTATAGCTGCACTCCTACCTACTTGAATTTCTTTCCACCTTAACAGTAAAAGACAAGATCACACCCAACACATTTTTTATTCTCTTTCCATATATTTGACATATTGCACCAAGGATAATTGTCACCTGACAATTGGTTACTATCATAGAAAATGTTGCTTTGGCAGTTAATTTTAGAGCTTTGCTGATTAATGAAAATCTTGAGTCTATAAAGCTAAAATTAATAATGGGACTCTGCTAAAAATCCTGTTTCAAGTTTAAACAATCTTTCTGAGAGCCTCCTCCTTTTGAAATGCCAACCATCTTCAACTAGTATTCATCTCAGCAACTAAATGATTTCTGGTTGCGGATACATCAGAAGTCAAATACCAAGCATACACTCGAGTCAAGATTCTTACTTGTCCACATGGATATGCTTCACCGGGCCATAGTTTGAACATTCTTCACGCACATCATCCCTGATGTCCAAATCAAATTCTGGATCCATCTGCAAACAAAATTCCAAGAATAAGCAAAAGGAAAGGCAATGACAAACGCATAAATCTTTGATTAGGAATTCCATGCACGTATGGCAAGTATGTGTACTTGTACATAGATCATCAAACAATTAACAAACCTCAGTTGCAGGATCAAACATATTCTTCAAAAGTAAACACTCGCTTGGGTTGCCAATGGGCTCTGGGGGCATTAAAACTTGTGCTGGAAGTACTGGAGCAGACATTGCTGTAGGTGCAACCATGGGCATGGTTATGGATTGTTGTGCAGGAGTTGCGCCATTAAGCGCAGGTACTCCAAGGGAACCAGCAACACTGCATAGGCAAAAGATATCAAACTTCCGCAGCAAAAAGTGAATTTCCACAGAAAAAAGACATAATACTACAGACAAACCTTGACGCAATCCCACTACGATCCAGTTTTGCCATTAGCATTGCTCTTGATTGAGCATTCAAAGCCTGAATAAGTTTAAACCCATAAATAAGTGTTTAAAATTAGCAACTAAAAGGAATCAATATACTAGATTCAACAAATGTCAGAGCAGTCAAATTCTCAATTTGATTTGTTACTTCAGAATTTGCTCAATGTGTGTGATGCAACAAACAATATCTCTCAACTTAAAGCTAAACTGTTTTTTAACAGAACAGTGATGCTTTCAGAATAATTGCCTTCAAGAACTATTTTAAATTATAATTTAACATCTTGAATAGAAATCGTTGAAAATCCAAAAGAAATTTGATCATACTTCACAAGTTGACACCTAAAACCCACTTAGACAACATTCATGCATCATATTGCTGTTGAATTTGAACAATTTAGTGATTTACACTGTTAATGCACCAAATGACACATTCGTTAATTATCAATTCCATCAAGCAATGTCTCAAATGCATTTGCTAAGTAGTCCATCCTACTAGGGACGTGATGAAAAGATAATACTAATTAGAAAACAAGTTCCAGAATCCCAATAAGATAAAAGTAATATTCTATAATCAACACCACAGTAATATTCTATAATCCCAGGATATGCTGCTATTGCAACCTATCAGCCACTGTATTATAACAAAGTACCCTCAGTCCTGCCTCTCCAAAAACATACATTCAAATAAATGTTGATTTATTACGGGAATACTAGGTTGGCAAAAAATTTAAAAACAGATATATTATCAATTAACTATATCCAAAATTAGGGCATTTAAAAAACTGCAGTTTCACAAAATCAACTAACCAATCCACCCCCATCATCATCATCAAAATCGGCAGTTTTCTGCCCTGAATCTTGCACTCCAACATGATCTGTAACAGATGAAACCTGCACTCAAAAACATTAGAATTAGACACTGCATCAATAAAAATTATAAAAAATGAAGTACAATATATTAACCATCTAATGAAGCTTGAATTTCATAAGCGCACCTTAATAGTTCGACCAGCAATCTCCAATTTCCCATTTAGAACTTGCGCAGCCTTTGCATGTTCTAGTTGAGCAAACTAAAAATAATAATCATGTCATCAACATTGTCAGAATTAAGGATTCATTGAACTGATATAATTAGCTAGAGAATCAAGACATCAAAATCTTAACCAATACCGACTTGAACAAAGCCAAAACCTTTGCAATGTCCAGTCTCAGGATCAGTAGGCAGCTGTACAAGTTCAACGGGCCCAAATGCTTCAAAAATCTGCAAATAAATAGTTACCAGATTTAGCAAATGAAGCCAGATACCACAAAACACTGCTAAACAGGAGGTGCAATAAAAGCTGGACTACAAGCTAATGACCATTGCATAAAAGATTAAAATCCAATAGGCCAGTGACAAAAAGCTTTAAAAAGACCAAGTCAGATAAAAGGAGAGATCATCCCATGGCCAATTTCTGATACATAAAGGAAGTGGCAAGGATATTTACCTTTGAATTACCTAAAGCTAAAATTTATTTTGCTTCACCTAAACTCGCAGACCTCAAAGAATTAGTGAATCTGTTGATATGCCAACACGTTCAACTTAAAAAAAGGTGCAAGAGTTAAAAACCCATCTACCTCCAAAGACCAGAGGTGATCGATGATTATGGAGGGGAAAAAAGTGCCTTGTAGACTGATAACTTCTAAAAGGAGCAATTTCCCCAACTCCTACAACTTTCATCTCCTACACTAGTTGAACAATGGTATGAAGTTTGCTTTCATCCAACTGCTTACTATGGTAAAACATAATTTGCAAAGCTTACCTGTTTAAGCTGAAATTCAGTCATGTTGAAATGTAAATTTCCAACATAGAGTTTCCTATCTGTTGCACCATACGGGCCCACAACGCTTGAATTACTGGAAGCATTTGATGGAACAAGGTTCTTTTCTGCCTCTGATGGTTTAACCATAACAGGCTGTCCAAGAAGTAGATGCCCAGATAGAGCAATTGCCATCGGCACAGACATGGAATCAAAGAACTCAATGTACCTGCAGTATCAAGGGAATCAATATCAAGACTGCAAGACACAGAAGTCAAGAAAAAAGTTGGAAAACCAATGGTTGTGAAAGAAATCGCTGTGGAAGATGAATCCCAACTTAAAAGGCTCAGAACTAAGAGATTAATAGTATTAAGTAATAACTAACCAAGAATAACAAAAAAAAAAAGCCCCAAAGTGAATCAAGCTCAAAATCATGGGAATACCAACGTATCTCAAAGATGCGTCAAAAGAGACCAGCTAACTACATTTGAAGGCCTTCTACCAAATCCATGAATTTAGCTTGAACTCCTTTTGGAACATTATCCAAAAGTAAGACTTGACAGCACTACAATTTTATAATATTAAAAAAAGGTAGAAATAGAGAGCAACCAGAAAAGGAGAAAGATACATAAGGAGCACATACCCAACTCCTTTTGATCTCCTCGAATTTCGATCCATGATAAGACGTACATCCCTCACCTGGAAATTAAAAATAGCAAAACTGAGAAGAAATGCCAAATAATTTGATCCACAAAAGAAAAATAAAAGTTAAAGAGCAAAGAAATGGGTCTTATAACTTGTCATTCTTCACAAATTGAATTCATATGCATACAAAACATATCTACTCAAACAAGCACAAGAATTATTATGTTATAATCAAAAATCAGTTAGTAATCAGTAGCAACAAGCAAAACGTGCAACTAATACCACGTATTCCATGCAATGAGACCATGAATCTTTTGCAATTCAGCGCACTCAGACCGTGAGATTTTTCCCTTATGTATATGCATAACAGTGTACGAATATTAGCATAAACAGAAATTGAGAATCATTTATTCTTAAAGAAATACAGCAAAGGTTGGAGTTATAATACACCACATAAATACATAAAATGATGATATCCATCCAAACAATAGACAGAAGAACACCAACCTTTCCTGCTTTTGAGAAAAACTCGTAAACATCCCTCTCAGTTGCCTTCAAGGGCATCTGCAATCAAAATATGTATACATCAGCAAACAATATTGTCTAATCCTACGCCTCTCCTCTACAAAAAAGAAGCAACTTCGAACAGGCAAGTAATTCCTGTAACACTTGATCTATAAAAATCTGGGAAGTTAAGCCATCCACCTGGTAAGCAAATACTGTTCTCTGATCCCTTTCTGGGTCAGCCTCAGGTTCCACCGCTTCTTTCTTTTCTTTAAATCTCCTGCATAAATGACTCAGAAAATAGTAAGTATAAACCCTACAATGAGAGGAACATATTAACATATAAAGCCTTATAGGTGTATTTTCTTGTAGAAAAACTTATCTCAACCTCAACATCATGTTCTCCTCCCTACCACAGAGATAATCAACCTCCTTAAATTCCAAGCCAGCACCCTACTTTTCCATAAATCAAACTTTTTGATAACAGAAATACCAAAAACGAATACCAACTTCAAATTTAACAAGTATAAACATAAAACATTCTAGACTAAGATTGTATAAAGTTCCTCAGCCAGTGGTCAGCAAGAAAGTGAGAACAAGCACATCATTTTTCAATGCTTAGCAAATTTTTATACTTCATTAGCAATCCACCTTCAATGGTTCCAATAACAAGCAGATTAGAAACTAAATGTTTTCGCTAATTGTCAACTAAAGCCCCCTTATTCATGTAGACCAAGTCACTTCTACCCAACAGCAATGGATGACTCAAATTAAAAAACAGTTTTAAGCTTAAGTACAATTAAGATTAGAAGGAATATCAAAGAAAAACAGGGGGGATAACAAGAAGTAAACCAGAAACCTAAAATCTGGCTTATGATTTCAGCAAGGAAAATGACTGGAATAACGTTCATAAGTTCACTCCAATCACTATTCTGGATGATTTAAGACCGTTGATTATTTATACTTCAATTAAGATTGTGTTCATTAGGACACTCGAGTTCACTGATATTTTGAATCAAAAAAGTCATTCAAACAGAGGATTTGCTATTCTGGTCCCTGTTTCACTGCAAAGTGGGAACAAGAATTATGGGGATAAGGCATTTTCGTCTTCACAGTGAACAAAAGGCTGGAAAACTGATACAGCCTCACCACATGCGTTGCCAACCTAAAAATTGAATACATCATTGATCAACATCTCAGCTTAGATGTAAGAAATCAAGCTTAATCCAGGTATGCAAAAAACATTAGAAGGATTGAAGAGTGAGCCAAATCTTAAGGCCGGAAAAGAGAAACACAACAGACCTTATCAAAACCAATATGTGGAAAAGCCACTTTCTTCAGACAAGCCGTGAAGAAGTTTCCGCATGTTAGCCCATTAAGATGCATCTACGATTTCAACCCAAGTTAGAAAGTTATATTCTTCATGCATAAACTCAGACTTTTTTCTGCACTTAGCCATTCTACAAATTCTTTCTGTGATTTCATCTGTTGGCAGAGATTTGGATACACATGCATATAACAGAACAAGCCACACTGGAAACAATTGTGTGTACACACGTGTGCTATATATGTATGTCTACATATGAACTCAACATTTTTTTTCCTGCAATTACTCGGAGTCCATTTGATTGATAAATTCCAAGATCGGTGATGCAAAAACAATAAGCAAAAACACACATAATTAAAATAAGCTACCTCCATAAGTATAGGTAGGGCAAATAACCTTTAATCGAAAAGGCCCTTCATAAGTCAGTGAAGTTAAACCATCAAAAACCGAACTTCATAAATCATATGTTCCAATTTTCCATATCAGTTCACGAAAAACCACTCCAAGCAAACAAATTCACTTACCCATCATGTGATTCTAATGATATCAAAGTCCCCGTGCAAGTGCAAAGAATCTTAACCACCAACGAGGAAAAAAATTCTCAAATCATTAGCAAGTAATGCCCCATCTGAAAGCACTCTAAACGTAATTAACCAAGAATTATTTGCCAAGTAAAGCACCAGCAATGTATGTAACCATAACTGTGTTGAGAAATCTATAAAATGCAACGGCAGAAACAAGTTAAAACTGAGCATCACCTGCTTTCCCTCATCTCGAGCTCGCGCTCTCGTTCCCTGATCAACTCTCTCTCCCTTTCACGATCGAGCCTGGACCTGCTTCGGCTCCTCCTTGACCTCTCCATTTCCTTCGACCTCTCCGTTTCCCTATCTCTTTCCTTCTCCTTTTCCCTATCCCTCCTCTCCCTGTCCTTCTCCTTCTCCTTGTCCCTGTCCCTATCCCTCTCCCTCTCCTTCTCCTTGTCTCTGTCTCTCCTCTCCCTGTCTCTTTCCCTATCCCTATCTCTCTCTTTCTCCCTCTTCTCCTTGTCTCTATCCCTGTCCCTCGAACTCCTCTCACTCTCCCTATCTCGACTCCGGTGCAGCGAGCTCCTCTCCTTCTCCCTATCCCTATCTCGTTCCCTCTCGCGGTCTCTATCTCGGCCGTTTTCGTCATCTCCGCGGGACCTTTTGCTGGAGGAATTTTTCCGATCTCTTTCGTCCTCGTCAATATCACCTTCGTCCTCGTCGCCACGCTCTTTTCTCCGATATCCTTTCTCCTTGTCTCTCTCTTTCTCGGCGGAGTCCTTAGTCTCCTTCGTTTTGGACGGAGGACCGTTGGTTTCTTCCACGGTTTTCTCCAAATAATCGTACTCGTCGAAGTCCATTGCTAGTGTTCCCCGACGTGGGAATGCTGGTGGCGGTGCCGCCGGTTGGTTTATCAGAACCCTACTATGGGAGTGTGTGCGAGAGGTAAACTATTGTCGTTGTTAGGGTTTTTGAGAGGTGGAAATCGGTGGGGGATTGTGGTGTATATCATGCGTTTGTTTGGTAGCCAGGATGGGCTGGGACTTGGATGGAATTCTGAGACGGAATGTGGTTTTATTGGCAATTTGACTTCGAGTCGTGTCGGGCCAATTGAGAAAGTCGGGAAGGAGGTGGCTGGGTGGGTTCTTGGTTCAACCGATGAGTCAACTAATTACTTGTGACGAGAGAAGGGTTGAAACTTGAGTGATACAGGAGAACGTACGGGAGGAGGGAGGGTTTGTTTGGATTGTAAGTTATTTGGAATATTTTTATCGTAGCATTTTTTGTGACATGATGTACGTGAGATAAAAAAATAATTGAAAAAATAGAAAGGTATATTGAAAATTGTAATGATGATATAAGCAAATAAAATTGAAAAAATAATGCTCAATCTTAACAAACCCGAAATATTCGAGTTCGAAACCTCTTCGGCTCACATTTAAAACAATGACACCAGATAAAACTAATTACTTGCAAATATTTTCGTCTTCAAAGTCATATGAAAATTGTCTTCAATCATAGAAAATGTATGAAGCATTTTATTGTCTTACAAATAAGAAACACAACTATTTTGTCCTTGAAGATTTTTCTAGTCATATTTTTGTTGAAAAATCATACACAGATCATATGCTTGAATTAGTGTGGCAAAATAGACGGCCCATATAGTTTTTGTCCAAAACTTATAAACCCTACCCTCTCTAATTTTCCCCAAATTCTTCTTTACTTACTTTATCATTATTCTCTTTTTTTTTTTAAGAAAAATGTAGCTATATAATAAAAAAAAACTAAATAAAAATGATCACAATGTGCCAAATGTGGAGTGAAGACAACAAAATCATGCTCACTCCCGCTTCTACTAGGCCTACTGCTGTCACTAATTATTAATATTGTGTATATCTTGTCACTATTATCCTGATAACCACCATTTTTTTGTTTTTCCCTAGCACCCAAGTTAGGCTTTGACCGTCAATCAAGTATGAGTAACTCAATTTCAGTCAATTTAGATAGTTCCCTCCATTTTTCTAGATTAGTTAACATACTTGTGAACCACAGAACCTTGGTCCGGTGGCCACCAGGGGAACTTCAGTTCCTCCTTGGAGTATCTGTCAAGGTTTGAATCTTGACCTAAAAGCTTAAGCTGTTAGGGGAGGCCCAGCAACCGTACTTATAGTGGATGGGAGCAGTCACATGACTCTCACCCCTTAAACCCGCCTTGGGCGAGGTTCGACCCCCAGACCTTACAAATTTTTTGCCAAATTTGTCTGCTACAAGTTTTTTAAAAACTTTAACTACAGTAATCTTAAAAAAATTTTCAAAGTTTTTAAACTATACACTTCAAAATATTAAAAAAAAACACACTTCAAAAATTTTTTTAAAAACTTCTACAGTAAACTCTAATAAAGTTTTAGACAAACACCTAAAAAACTCACCTTCCAAACAGGTCAATCCGCCAAGGAGTAGCAACAATAGTAATAGGCATACCATAGAAATAACAGTAGGAGGGATCTCCCTTTGCCCAAAATCCCCTTCCCCAAAGACTCCTTATAATATAGCATCCTCTTCTCTAAGACCCCTCCCCAATAGGGCTGGAGCTGAATCAAGTAGCTCGACTCGAGCTCGCGAGCTACTTGGTCAGCAGCTCGAGTTTGAGCTCGAGCTCGGTTGAGTTCGATCTCGAGCTCGAGTTGCTCGTTAGAGTTATCGAGTCGAGTTCAAATTTGGAAATATGATACTCAAGAGTTCGACGAACTCTATCGAGTTTTTTATAATATATATTTTAATTTTTATTATTATGAAATGTCAATAATATCCTTTATTTAAAATTATATATAAAATATTAATTTTTATTACTTGAACTTGATTAGGCTTGATAGAGCTCGAATAAGCTCAATTGAGCTTGATTTGTATTAATTACATTTAATTAAACTCGAGCTCAAGTTTGAACTCGAGTTCCATAAATTGATGTCGAGCTCGAGCTCGAATTTTAAAAGTTTGACGAGCTCGAGCTCGAGCTTAGTTATTTTGCCTCGAGTCGAGCTCGAGTAGTGGACTCGACAGCAGCCCTAAGCTTAAAATTCGAGCTCGAGCTCGAGCTTAGTTATTTTGCCTCGAGTCAAGCTCGAGTAGTAGACCCGACAGCAGCCCTACTTCCCAGGGTTGACATCTTTGCGGATATTTTGAAATGAGAAGGGACTCCTTTGACTTTTGCGTAAACCAAAAGGGTTTCTCTATTACCCCAAAGAAAAGTTACGGGGTCTATGTTGCAAAGTTATATAAATATAAATTGAAATAAGTAAATCATATTTTAACAGGTCTGAATCTGATGGGCAAACAACTCATGCATTAGGCTTTCATTTTCCCCATTTGAAACCTATTGTTCTGTTTTTGTTATAAGGAGGCTATAAAACTGATTCTTCACATAAATAACGACGATGAGTCGTACTCATATAATCCGCAGACCATACAATGCTTTTGTTTAACTACATGATACTTTGTTTGTAAAGCTTAACAGAGTGAAATTGACTCTGCCATTAATGTTTATATATTTGTAAAACATCTTTTAAATATAATAATCAACATCCAAATGCACTGTATTTACCAAATCCCAAATTTACCTATGCTAAAATATCTAACATTTTAACCACCTACTTAACTGGTGGAATTAGCGACCCATTTACCTAGTCTCTTTAATGGTTTGCTTGTCAAGTTAGATTTAATAATGCTGCTCATAACCAAGGGCAAAATAATCTCTTGGATCAATAAGATATGATGTTAAGCTTTGATTATGGGTATACAAGGAAAAAAAAAATTAGTACAGAAATTAAAATAATCTCCTTCTGTTTGGTTAAATTCTGGAAACCAAATAGGCAGTTCTTGAAACCATTCCTTTGAGTGGTGTTTTTTACTTTTTCCGTATAATGGATAATTGTTACATTTTTAGGGAGGCAATGTGAGAGTAAAAGGAAAACTCTACAAAATTCAGGGAGTACAAATGTCCAGTAAATTAAAATTGTAAAAATGTTTGGGCCTAATTTCCAACTCTTCAGTGCTGGGGGGGAGGCAGTGCCAGGAGCGCCCCTTAAACAATGGTATGTCGGGCCAGCAAATGGGATCACCGAGTTGGTAGACAAACACACGAGGCAAGAGCACCCCATTGAATCAGAAGACAGATACCATTGCCTAGGAGGAAATGCTTTTGAGTTTATTCATACTATCGGAAATGAAGGTCTAAATATCAAAGCAAACCAAAAAATAAAAAGCCCACATAAGAGCAGAGGAGTTTTTTTGGTTGGCTGATGTTAAGCTAATCAGGTACATTATGCCAAGAAGCTCAGAAGGAGCTATTCTTCCTCTATGGTAAAGCACCTAAGTTGAAGAGGGCCGTGAAATCCACCAGTAAGTTGTTGAGACAAACAAATAGGCATATATCACCAACAATTACCCTACCAGATATCTTAAGAACAAGAACTTCAAATATCATGCCTTACTGAATAGGAACAAACGAGCTCCACAAAAGGATGAAGTCTAAGCATGAGATAGAAGAAAACCACCACTGCAAGAGGGAAAAGAACAATTTGATGTATGAATTAGTAACACTGGTTTATACATCATTTATACCCTTGTACAACATCTTTTCGAAGTGAGAAAAAGGTGGGTGAAAAGTTCTCCTCCATCACAAAGTAAAGCAAAGTAAATGCCCACAAAAGCAAGTTAAAAGACAAATCAGATAAATGGTGGTGGCTAATCTCATCATCAAGCAGTCCTCTTAGGAGGAGCCATATTGCGGATAAGAGATGTCGTCGTACTGATTGTATATAATTGTACCACGAATCCTGCAAATTGATCAAAAGACATATAAGTGAGAAATGAAATCTATAAAAAGACCCCATTAACTCAATTCATAATCACAGTATTTACCTAGCAGGCCAGTTGCAACCTTTGAAAGTTCAAGCATTGACGTACCCCAGCTACTAAAATCCTTGATAACCTATTCCAGAACATAAAGATATTTCACACAATATATCCATCAATATCTCTGGCTGTAATAAGGTACATTTCTTACATGGCAACCTAGATAAAGAACCTTTCAAAATAGAGCAAGTGTGAATTAACAATAGGTCCCACTGTCTGCCTACGCAGCAAGTCAAAAGTTAAAACTTATGAGAAATATCTACCAGTTAATTTCATCCTTGATAAGGCCTAGTCAATGATAAGGTAATTACAGACTCTTAAAATTTTCTTCCACATTATCTCTAATACTTGTATCTCATTCCACATTTCTTTCTTCAAGTTGACTCAAAGAGTGATTAAATACGTATCTGTTTCAGTCTGATTTATCATCAAGTTTAAAGTCAAGAAGAATCATCATGATTTAACGGGTTTCTAAACAACTAAAGCCACGAAAATCAGTAAGTGGTCGTACTTGTACCACATAAGCACTCCTTGAGAGATTAGCAGTTGATATCAGTACAGCTATTGATGATCCTAACATGTATAACTTCAGAAAACTTGCCCGGCTTCGCTTCCTACCTTCAGAACAACAAGAAACTCAACAGTAAAGATCAGTCTCCAATCACTGAATGACTAGCACAACAAAAACATGTTAGGGTTACCTAATTCTCCTATGAAGAGAGAAATGAAACATATAACAGATGAAGAAACTGCAATTTTGTCAAGCTCCTCCATCTTAGTTGTGGATAAAAATACATTCACTGCTGCTAACAATTGAATAATAGCCTGTCGATAGATGACATAAACTGTGTCAAAAGTGAAACTGCGAATTCGAAATCAAACATTAGCCTCCGTAAAACATGCCCAATTAATACGGAAACTAAACAACAGTATCAGTTGAAGAATTACAGCTAAAAATTGTCCAATGCAAGTCCAAAAAATACTATGAATGCAACTAAAATAAGAAACCTGCATTGGCTAATTCTTCAATTTCAGCAAGACATAAAACAAAAAACATATACCAAATGCTTAAAGAAAAATTCCAAAATTAAATTTCTTACCTGTTAATTTAACACTAACACCTAAGGCTACTCAAAAGTTAAAAAGAAAAGGCTCATGAAGAATTGACCACAACACAGAATCTGGAAGATCTTTAAATCGTTTTTTTCTTAGATAACCAAAACTCTCACTAATACACAAGTGCTATAATAGACTTGCACATTTTTAAACTAAAAGATACTATACATGTACTTTTTCTGTTTTCTGTTCTTATAGTCTTCTGTACCTGGGTGAAGATGAGAACAGAAAGGCGAGACTTGTATTCAGCGACCTTTTTATAGCCTAATAAGTACATAACAGATTGAAAGAAAGATTTAGATATCTTCCAAAGCAAACACGAATTGGAGAAATTGGGTTAAATTAAAATCCAAACTCACAAGAAGAATGAAAAAAAGACACGTACGTGAGTCCACTACCATGCGATAGGAAAAATCAGAACCATCAGTTCCAGAAGGCCTTCCGTTCCCAGGTCCTCTCTGATGCATATTCTCTCACTCCCTTCCTAAAACTACTTTGACTCTGCATGCAGAATCCAGAAGTGAAATGTTCATGCCACATCGGTAGACAAATGATGATTTTGCATCGAAACAACAAATAAAGTTTCATAACATTATATTGGATAAAAGCATTCTGTCACTCCCTTCCTAGAACTGCTTTCATTCTGCATAAAAGAAACCAGAGGTGAAATGTTTATGCTACATCAGTAGAAAAATGAAGATGGTCCGTTCAAACCATAGATTAAGTTTTAAAAGATTATAGAGGACAACCTGCAACTATTCTTTTCATGAAAAGAACTTTCTCTCTTGTCAAGAGTATTATTGCTATTCTACCATTGATTTGTTATTTTCTTGAATTTTCTTCCTTTAAATTCACTAAAAAAAGGAGTTATGAAAAATACATAAAAGAAATCAAGTCGTGAATTTCAAAGTTCAAATAAGCTAAAAAGCAAAACCTAAACAAAACCAGAACAAAATAAAATGAAGAAAAGTACGCAGAAGAAAAATATTGGGTATTGGCAAAACCATTGCAGCTATTCCATTCCAAAGGAATAATAAGCTCAATTACTTCTACTTGGAAAACCACAGATTCTAAGTACTCCCACTAAATAATCACAGGACAGCACTTTGATTTCCTAGTATTCATATATTTATTTCAAGAAAAAAAAAAGAGCATATAAATTCGCAATTCTATAACAGTTTAGAAGCGGATGAAAATCCAGAGTATTCAATCCAAATAAAGGAAGCAAAGTAACGAAATGGAAGAACGAAAAGCTGAGATTAGCTACCACTTTTGAGATCTCCGGCGGCTATCCTGGAATTTCCGGCTAATCCACGGGATGACCTGCGACGGAGACGGGGAGAGGAGGTTGTCTTTGCTCACGGGGCCGGTGTGGAAAAGAAAAGAAGTTTAAAAATTAAAAAAAAAAAAAAAAAAAAAGAGCAGGGAGAGAGATATAAAAATTTTTTGCTAAAATAGTCGTTACATTTTTGTGAAATTGGTTTTGTGTCTCTTATATTTCCTTAAAATGAAGCAATATGGTTTACAAAAACGTTTGGATTGTCAATTATTTCACTTTATTTACACCTTATTTACACACACTAATTTACTTGCATCATCAACACATTTTTTAATCATTTTTTTATCTCACATACATCATATCAAAAAAGTTCTACAATACTTTTTCACAAAATTATCTAAAATAATTTACAATCCAAACACATTTGGTAAGCCATTTCCCCCAAAAATTTTATACATTTTTTGTGAACACATTTTATAATCACTTTTTTACTTCTTATATATCAAATTATTATAGTATATTTTTCTACAAAAACTCTAGAAAATAACAATCCAAATGGGTTTAAAATTTAGGTTGACGATTCCATTTCTCTACATTGAAATTAGGTTAAGGACTCCATTTCTCTCTACATTGAAGTCCTTTCGATGAATATATGAACTTTATCTTTCTACTAACTTTGATCCATCTTCTTATTCACAAGGAAGGTATAAGTGGATTTGCGTTAACATATGAAGTTTACCAATTTATAATAGAGTGAATGGTTTAAAAGGTCACTAAACTATTAAAAATGACACCCTTTAGTCACCAAACTTTTTTTGTGGCCATAAAGGTCCTAAACTAGCAAAAAGGCTCCAGCGGAGTCATTTTACCGAATTTCAGCAGTTTCTCATTCGGTGGCATGGACAATGTGAATTGGAGGAATATAGGCCCTGTTTGGAACTATGGTTTTTTAGCAAGTTTGTTTGCTACTAGTTTTTTAACAACTTTTGCTACAGGAACCTAAAAAACTTGTAAAAAACTTTTAGAGGTTGTCTGAAACTTTAATGAAACTACATCGTTTTGGACTCAAAAACTTGCAAAAAACTTTCTGATCATCTACTGAAACGACGTCGATCTGGCGTTTATTTTTTCCCGTCTTCATGAATAGCAAAGCAGTCAGCTCGTTGCACAGATCAATAGCTGCCCTAGTTGCTAAACTGCAGGAGAACACCAAGCTAATTCATTCTCGTTCGTAGGCTGATAAACCCAAAGAGAAGCGGCGCATGAAGTTGGTTGGACACTCCTCTGCTGGTGTAGCAGTCTCGCAGCCGACGGAGCTTTGTCCATCGAAGGTTCACCATTTTGGAAGGTACTTGCTGAAGTCCGGCAAAGCCTACGGTGGCTGATAGTCATGTCCTCCACCACGGTGAGCCCTGCAACAGCTGCTCTTGTCCGCCCGCTACAAAAGCCCTCCACTTTCAGGTGCCAAACTACCAGAACTTGATGAATTGAGGGGGAAGGGGCAGAGGGGGGCGGCGCAGATGGGGCGACGGGGGAGAGGGGGAAGGCGGGAGAGGGGGAAGGGGCAGAGGGGGTGGCGGGGGGAGGGGGAAGGCGGGGCGGCGGGAGGTGGAGTTGCTGCTGGGGGTGGTGGAGGTAACGGGGAAGAAGAAGAAGAAAAAAAAAAAGAGGAAAGAAAAGAAAAAGGAAAGAAAGAAAAAGAAAAAGAAAGGGAAAGAGAAAAAAAAAAGAAAAAAAAAGTTTTTCACCTTACAAAAACTTCTACAAAATTTTTTCAAAAACTTCTACAGTAAACTACAGTAAAGTTTTAGACAAACTCCCAAAAAACTCAGATTCCAAACAGGCCCATAGTCAATGAGCAAAAATGTCCAACAAAATATAGTAAACCTATTTTTCCCTCGAGAGGCGTGCCTTAGATCTAGAAATTCGGTGACTGCTCAGATGTGGCAAGAGTTGCAAATTAAGATGGATGAATTATCTTCGGCCGGGCATCAAGAGAGGAAACATCACAGCAGCTGAGGAGGACCTCATTATTCAACTCCAATCCCTGCTCGGCAATCGTTGGTCACTCATAGCTGCAAGATTGCCTGGCTGAACTAACAATGAAATAAAGAACCACTGGAACACTCGTCTGCTTAAGAGACTCTACAAAGGAGGAATCCAGCCCCAGAAATCCTCTACATCTCTGTCCAAGAAGGGTAGCAAACAGCACACCAAAAAGAAGTCGAACAAGAAACAGGGAGATGGCCCTGAAGTCGAGGCCTACCGCTATAGAATTGATGGCTCGGCTGGTGCGTTCCTTGAGAGTGGCATCCAAAGACCGAAGCTGTGGATAGGCTTGGCAGGCAGCTTCGTAGGAGCTCAGATCAACTTCGGAGGCAACATCCTTAGCTTTTTCCCCATTACTACTACTATGGTTGCTGTGACTGGAGTTGCTACCTTCTCGATACGGTGGGGTGAGCGTGCTCGGTCCCTTGGTTTTGCTAAATTGACTACCCGTTTGAAAACTGGAGGAATCCCAACTCCGAATCAGTTGTTTTTGCGTGTCTGTGTCTGTGGAGGTGTCTGCGGAGGAGTTTACTACTGTTTTTGGGTGGATTATTTTCTATTTTCATTTGGTTTACAGGCAGTCACAATCACCTTTTTTACCGCCGAAGAAGATGAAGTAAATCTAGTTAGGTTGGAGGTTGGTCAACTTTGGGAATTAAACAATCTATTGTTCCAATAGCCTTTTGGACATTTTTGCCCATATTAGAATATTCGTTCAACCCAAGTGCTTTTGTCATCGGATGAGAAACTGCTGAAATTCGGTAAAATGATTTCGCTGGAGCGATTTTGCGAGTTTAGTGGCCTTTGTGGTCACAAAAAAAGTTTGGTGACTAAAGGGTGCCATTTTTAATAGTTTAGTAATCTTTTGGGCCATTCACTCTTTAGAATATTTGCAACGTATATTAAACTTGACTGAAGGAAGGAACCTCATAATTTACATAAAGTAATCACGTTGAGCATATTTGATCTGATAGCTAAGATTAAGGTCGCAGGAATCATAAGTTTTGGTCCAATTACTCCTTTCCCTTCTTATTTCTTAAATCCCATTTTCCTCTATTTTTTAAAAGGCAATTATATTATACTAATAAGTTATAAATTATAATGGACTAATGCCATTTAATCTAGCATTAATTCTTTGATATTTTAGTATGCAGCAAAAGGATACAAGTAGATTAACATCATCCTTCTGTAAAGGTCACACTCAAGAATCAAGAAATGGTTCGAAATTCTTGGCTAATTTCTTAGATTATACGTAAAAAAAAAAATTCGCATAAATGTACGCCTGACAGACTCTGTTTCTAATTCTATACCTGTCGTGCCGAGTTAGCACGGCAGCAGAATAAATTGTCAAAGCCCTCAGCCCCTCTGCAATAAGTTCAGTGCACTAAGCAGCCCATTTTTTTTTTTTTTCTAATTGGACACGGTTGGGGACACCAAGTAAAAAAAAAAAAAAAGCTTTGTCAGCCTTTGTCCAACGCACCCCTAACCCGGTATTTTTAATTCTAATGCCTAAAATGCAAATGCTGCAAAATCCATTTTTTTTAACTAACCTTTTATTCATACTCTACTTAAATTTAGGCCACTTAGACTATCAAAGTGATTTACAAATCTGCAAACAAAAAAGTATTCATACTAGTTTCATAAGTAGACTTAAATTAAATCGGATCCCAAACAAATTTGCTTAAACCCCAACTTATACCTGAAAAGTCAGAATTAATTAACCAAAATACAGATAACATCATAAAGAAAGGCCAGGACTCAAAAATGAGAAATTATATCCATTTTTTGCAAATGTTGACGCCCTAGCATAATTATGTACGAGTTAGGGGACAAAGTATAAATATAAATTATGGACTTAGATGAAAATCAGTGAGCATAAGAATCTGTATGACGGTGGATAGGGGGGCCACGTCACCCCCCAAGGGATAATTGGACGGTTGAGATCAGCTCAACCCAATGGCATTTTGGTTGACGGCCCACTGGATTAAGAAATTGAGAACAAGTTATGCATATGTTCAAATATTATTTATTGGACTTTATTGTGTTTTTATGCTCACTGACCTTCATCTAAGTTCATAATTTATATTTATAATTTGTCCCCTAACTCGTACATAATTATGCTAGGGCGTCAACATTTGCAAAAAATGGATATAATTTCTCATTTTTGAGTCATGGCTTTTCTTTATGATGTTAATCTGTATTTTGGTTAATTAATTCTGACTTTTCAGGTATAAATTGGGGTTTAAGTAAATCTATTTGGGATCCAATTTAATTTAAGTCTACTTATGAAACTAGTATGAATACTCTTTTGTTTGTAGATTTGTAAATCACTTTGGTAGTCTAAGTAGCCTAAATTTGAGTAGAGTATGAATAAAAGGTTAGTTAAAAAAATGGATTTTGCAGCATTTGCATTGTGGCCATTATAATTAAAAATACCGGGTTGAGGTGTGTTGGCAAAGGCTGACAAAACGCTTTTTTTTTTTTACTTGGTGTCCCCAGCCGTGTTCAGTTAGCACGGCTGGGGACAGGGTTATTAAAAAAAAAAAAAAAAGTGGGCCGCTTAGTGCACTGAACTTGTTGCAGAGGGGTTGAGGGCTCTGACAATTTATTCCGCTGCCATGCTGACTCAGAACGGTAGGTATAGAATTAGAAACAGAGTTTGTCAGGTGTACATTTGTGCGAAGTTTTTTTTTTTTTTTTACGTATAATCTAAGAAATTAGCCAAAATTCTTGGACTATACCCCGTTCGGACAGCTTCATTGTCCTAGGGCTGAATGAGCTAAATCCCAATAAGCCAAATGTACAACATACTTGGAAGAATCTGGTAACCAAGTAGAGAATCAGAGCTAAGGTTCACAAAATTTTTTTTCCCTATTTGGGTGAGGAATGTTCAAAGACTCAAGGTGCTATTAGATATCAAAGTGGATCTAGGTTCAAACACAAAATCAATGATGTATAAGGCAAGAGTAAGATGCCTACATTGCCACCACCTTGTCACCAAATGTCCCTTCAAGAGAAGATAAGTTCTCAATAGCAAATTTAGAAGAAAATTTTTCTAA